CATCATCACCAGTACGGGTCTGTGGGGGGAGGAGCGTCTACCGAGAGTAGTAGCATTGATGAAGATTTAGGAAATGTAAGTTTTCACTATAGCAGCAATAGCTATGATTGGATACATGTACATGTAGTAGGAAGGGTAACATGAACATAAATAGTGTTAGTACTTTGTATGGGTAAACTGTACATATCCTTTATATCAAGAAATGGCCAGCTGCAGTATTTTACTTTGGCTGAATGACCTACACATTTGAAATTTCTTTAAATGATATAATTGTACTATACTTCATTAATCATTAACATCACTGCATTAGGGTAAGACTATTGATAGAAGCTACTGGGAGTGTCATACTAATCCACTAAAATGAACTTTCCCACTAGACTCAATAGTGTTCAAACCCCAGCCTAAAGAACTAGCACCCTATAAAAATAGTCTGGTTTTCATAATTTGCCAATGCCCAGTCCATCATTATTGTTGCTCATTCAGAGGAGTCTTAAGGTCAAGTAGGAAGTCCTGCCTACATTTATCCACCATGACCTACCAGTGGATATAAAAGTAGACTATAAATACTAAGAGAAGAGAAACTTAAAGCACCATATAGCCATCAAGTCCAAAAATGGGTATTCTTGCTTCATCTCTCTTGATAGTTACTTTGATCCTCTTTGGCAGCCAAAGCATCAGTGCAGGTAATGTCATTTACTAACTTCAGCTGAAGCTTTACATTTCCTTTCTGCAGTGACGTACACTCATTGGGGTCAGACCTCATGTCCTACGGATAGCACTGGTGCTACACTTGTGTACGAAGGCATGACAGCTGGTAGCAAGCACTCTGAATCGGGTGGTGGGGCACAATATATCTGCCTACCAAAAGAACCGGAGTACTGGTCAGTTGGAGTTGGTACTCCTCGTACTGAATCGTTCCTTTATGGGGCAGAGTATCAACTACGTCTTTATCCTTCTCAGGTTGAATACACAGCACCTTGTGCAGTGTGCCTTGCCTCCAATAAGTCATCAGTAATAATGATACCAGCAAAGATAACATGTCCTCGATCATGGACACTAGAATACAATGGTTACCTCATTGCTGAGTATTATGCTCATCCTAACAATGTTTTATACGAGTGTCTAGATGTTAATGTAGAGACAGTACCTGGAACATCTCAACGAGATCCAGAAGCATCTATCCATCATGTGACATCCACCTGTCATGGCCTTCCTTGCCCTCCATATCGCACAACAAAGGAGCTGGCCTGTGCTGTCTGCTCAAAATGAAACTTTTTGCATATACATACATGTAGAGACTTTGATTAGTTTTTTAATTGATTTGTGATGATTTTTTGAAATAACGATACTAATAAAACGTTAATGAACAATAAATAATGATGGTGATAAATGCACTTTCTGAGCATAAAAAGCTTTAGCAACAAATCATTTTTATCTATATTGAATGGTGGATCTGGCTACATACATAACATCAGTACCTGCCCAACTTTCAAAATGTGGTTTTGCACTGATGCTAAAATAATTTAGATT